GAAAAGTTTACTATGAACGGGAGTCCATGTTATTGTGAGCAACAACCTCAAATATCTCACACTTACCAAGGCTCCTGATTATGTTCTCTTATATGTCACTTAATCACGTATTATTGCTTTGGTCATGACAGGCCTTTCAGTGAGACAGGATGCAGAGATGGAAAACAGTGATACTGATGATCCTGACCCTGTGTAGATCAAGGCTAATGGATGTGCTTGTGGCAAGGCTAATGGATGTGCTTGTGTCTTAGTTTTGGTTTTTTTTCCCCTCTCAAACAATGTAATCTACATTTGAAATAGCATGCTAAATACAAGAAACAAACACAATAAAGAACCAACTACTTTACCAAGGCAGTTATCTATGTCTTGATCCCCCTCTATCTGTTCTATTGTGTTCTTCCACTGTTTAACAAATTCTTGCCTGTCATTATCTTTTGAAAATACTGTGCTGCTTTATTCAATTCTAACTGTGCATGTAGATCTCTGTAAGCCTGTTGTGAAGTATTTCACTTCTGATTACATTCCAAAGTCAATCTTACTAACTGCAGGGTCACTCTCTTCCAATCTTTCAGTTTCTGCTATAGAGCACAGACATTCAGTATATATTGAGAGGGGGCAAACAAAACCTCTTTCAGGTTAGCTTGCTTCGCTGGGCATTAAGTCTTCCATATTCGCCCACTTTGTAACAAATGTCAGGGTCTCATTGTTTTTTATGACTGAGTAGTATTCCACAGAGTACTGCCACATTTTTTCAACCCACTCATCTGTTCTTGGACATCTGGGTTGATTCCATATCCTAGCAACTGTAAATAATGCCACAATAAACATGGATGTGCAAGAGTTTTTCCGACTGAGGATTTCCCTATCCTTTGGGTAAATTCCTAACAGTGGAATTACTAGATCATATGGTAGTCATATCTATAGGTTTCTAAGGAATCTCCATAATGTTCTCCACAGTGGTTGTACTAATTTACATTCCCACCAACAATGTAGGAGAGTTCTCATTTAACCACAGCCTTGCCAGCACCTATTATTTATATTTTTAGTTGTAGCCCTTCTGACTGGAGGTAAGTAGTATCTCATTGTGGTTTTGATTTGCATTTTCCTATGATAAGTCATGATGAGCATGATTTCTTATGCTTTTTGCCCATCATGTCTTCTTTGGAAAGTTGTCTGTTCAGCTCATTTTCCCATCTTTGGGATTATTTTTTGTGCCCATCTTGGATTATTTTTTGTGGGTAAACTATTTGTGTTCCCTGTATATTCTAGTTATCCATCCCTTATCTGAGCTTTGAATTTGCAAATATATTCTCCCACTCTGAGGGTTTTCTTCTAATTATTGTATATTTTGCTGTGCAGAAGCTTCTCGGCCCAATAAAGTCCCATTTGTATATTTTGGAGACTAATGCCTGTGCTCAAGAAGTCACTGCCTATCTAAGGTCTCCAAGAGTTTTCCCCGTCTTTTCCACCAGTATTGTTAGTTTGAGGTTTCATGTTTAGATCCTCAATCCATTTTGAGTTGATTTTTGTTAGTGGTGAGAGATAAGGTTTCAATTTCATTCTTCTGCAGATGGATACTCAGTTCTCCCAGGACTATATGCTGAAGAGTTTTTTTGTTTTGTTTTGTTTTCCCCCTGGATTGTGTTGTGCCATTTGTCAAAGATCAGTTAGCTGTATGTTTTGGAATTTATTTGGAGGATCTCAATTCTGTTCCATTGGTCTATCTGTCTTTTTTTTATGCCAATACTATGCTGCTTTGAATATCACAGTTTTGTATTATGTTTTGAGGTCAGGAAGTGAGATGCCTCCTACTTTTCCCCTTGCACAGTACTTACTTGGTGATACAGGACCTTTTATGATTCTAGACAAATTTTATGATTGTTATTTCTATTTTTGTGAGGAATATCACTGGTAGTTTGATCAGAACTTTCAAAGAATTTGTGGATTAATTAGGGTAGGTTTGACATCTTGATAAATTTTTTTTTTTTTGGAGAGATGTTCGCTATAGGGCACGTACGCTCGCCAGACAGACAGAGACATTAGAGACAGAAAGCAAGAAATCGCCCCCCAGGGGTATGGTCACGCCACAATCCCTTCTCCTCCATTCTCCTCTCGGGATCTTGGGTGGGCACGCACGCACACGTGCCTGGCATGACATCTTTGGTAAGATTTATTCCTAGATACCTTATTGATTTTGTGGTTATTGTAAACGTGATTTTTTTCAATTCTTTTTATCCATTGTTGATATATAAAAATACTATGTCAATTTTACATCTTGCCGTTTTATGTATTCATTTATCACTTCCAGGACTTTTTTGTGAATTCTTTTCGATTTTCTATGTACAGCATCATTTAATCTGCAAATAGAATAATTTCACTTCTTTTTTTTTGGATATCCTTTATTTTTATTTATTTTTTTTTTAATTCTCATCTAACTGCATTGGCAAGAGCATCCAGTATCAGGTTAAAAAGGAAAGTGGGCAGCCTTGTCTTGTTCCAGTTTGATTATAGTATGATGTTAGCTATGTGTTTTTCATAGATGGCTTTTATTGTGTGGAGAAATGTTCCTTCTATGGCTATTTTGTTGAGAGTCTTACTCATGAAGAGATACTGTATTTTATTGAATGCTTTTTCTGTATCAATTAATATAATCATATGGTTTTTATCTTTACTTTTGTTAATGTGATATATTAAACCTGTTGTTTTGCTTATGTTGAACCATCCTTGCATCCCTGGAATAAAGCCTACTTGGTATGGTGTATAATCTTTTTAATGTGTTGCTGAATATGATTTGCTAGTATCTTGTTGAGAACTTTTGCATCAGTATTTATTCAGAGATATTGACCTTAAGTTTTCTTGTTGTTGTTGTTATAACCTTGTCTGATTTTGGAATTAGGATGATGGAAACTTTACGGAATTAATTTTGGAGGGTTCCTTCCTTTTGGATCTTTAGAAATATCTTGAGGAGAACGGGGGTGAGTCCTTCTTTAAAAGATTTTGTAAAATTCAGAAGTAAAGCCATCAGGACCTGAGCTCTTCTCTGTTGGGAGACTACTGGTGATTCAATCTCATTGCTTGTTATGGGTCTATTCAGATGTTTTATTTCTTCCTGGTTCAATTTTGGTTAAGTTGTATGTGTCTAGAAATGTGTCCATCCCATCAAGGTTTTGTTTATTGGCATATAATAGTTCACAGTATTCTCTGAAGATATTTTGTATTTGTTATGTCTGTTGTAATAATGCTTG